ACTTATGTGAGGTCCCTCGAGTAGTCAAAGGTGGTTGCCAGGGACTGGGGGGAGGGGAACTGGGGAGTTAGTGTTTCATGGGGACAGAATTTCAGTTTTACAGGAAGAAAAAGTTCTAGAGATCTGCTGCACAAAAATGTAAATGTACTTAACCCTACTGAAATGGACACTTGAAAATGGCTACGGTGGTAAATTCTGCGTTATGTGTTCTTTACTACAAGTAAAAATAGAAAAATTATTTTTTTAAAAAAGTAACCAAAAGCTGGAAGCTGAGACAGGAGAATCGCTCGCTTGAACCTGGGAGGCAGGGGTTACAGTGAGCCGAGATCATGTCACTGCACTCCAGCCTGGGCAACAGAGTGACACGGAAAGAAGGAAGGAAAAAGGGAGGGAGGGAGAGAGGGAAGGAGAGAGAAAGAAAGAGAAAGAGAAAGAGAAAGAGAAATAAACAAATAAATAAATCCTAGACAATCAGCGCTCCCAGAAAAGGACAGCCGAATGTGGTATCCATTCATCTGCCGTCCAAAACCACATGAAAATGATAGGAATAAAAGTGGGGGCTAAACCCACAAAGACAAAGAGATCAGAGGAAAAGAGAAATGAAGGATTTCATGGTGACAACTAAAGACAGTCTATGTGACAACTCAGCACAAAGAGAGTGCCTAACACATGGCACTTATCATTATCACCAAATTATTATTATTATTTTTTTTAAATGGAGTCTCACTCTGTTGCCCAGGCTGGAGTGCAGTGGCACCATGTCGGCTCACTGCAACCTCTGTCTCCCAGATTCAAGCAGTTCTCTGCCTTAGCCTCCGGAGTAGCTAGGATTACAGGCACCTGACACCATGCCTGCCTAAGTTTTGTATTTTTTTCAATAGGGACAGAGTTTCACCATCTTTGCCAGGCTGGTCTTGAACTCTTGACCTCGAAATTCACCTGCCTTGGCCTCCTAAAGTGCTGGGATTACAGGCATGAGCCATGGTGCCTGAACAATTATCACTAAATTTTAATAGCACATTGCAAATTTCAGTTTTAGTGCCATTGAAAGCCAAGGGAAAAATATTGATCTTTTTTTTCTGTGTAGAAACTCCCACTTAAAAGTTTGGGCTCAGTGTTTTGTGGCTATGTTGATATTTTTCAACCATGTCTTTTTAAATGTTTCATTATGAATCCCCAAAATATTGTTTGTGCGTAAACTTGAGGTCAAACAGCAGACTGACTTTAAGATGTGTTCAATGAGGCCGGGTGCGGTGGCTCAAGCCTGTAATCCCAGCACTTTGGGAGGCCGAGGCGGGTGGATCACAAGGTCGAGAGATCGAGACCAACCTGGTCAACATGGTGAAACCCCGTCTCTACTAAAAATACAAAAAAAAAATTAGCTGGGCATGGTGGCGCGTGCCTGTAATCCCAGCTACTCAGGAGGCTGAGGCAGGAGAATTGCCTGAGCCCAGGAGGCGGAGGTTGCCGTGAGCCGAGATCACGCCATTGCACTCCAGCCTGGGTAACAAGAGCGAAACTCCGTCTCAAAAAAAAAAAAAAAAAAAAAAAAGATGTGTTCAATGAGGCAAAAATGCCAGTGGTTTGCCTTCTTAGAGGGACAAAATGGTCAAAACTCATGAAAAGTGGGGAAAAGAGAGGGAAAGAATAAATGAAAGCAGACGACAAGGAGGAAAGAGGTGAAAATAGGGGGCTAAGGAGGAAAGGAACCAAAGAAAGGGAGAAAGGACCGAAGGTATCAGGACAGCTTGGCAAATATTGGGCATTTCCTTCCACTAGCATGGCGCTAAAACCACAGGGAATTCACCGACTTCGCTGCATTATCCCTCGTATCCTCCCCAGACTCCCTCATCACTCACCGAATTATCTGCTACCGCGACTCCTCCCTTGCCCCTGGTCCACCCCAAAAGGCGGTGGCCTAGGGAGCACGGGGAGAGTCCCCCAATCCCAATCCCACCCTCAAGGCACTGTGGGAGCTCAGGCCTGACTCAGGACCCCTGAGCTCCAACCTGAGGAACACTTTTCATCCTAAATCAACTAAGCCTCAGTTTCCTTTAGGACAGCAGGCACCGCCTCCCTGGGCTGCCTTGTGGAGAAGGAACATTCAGGTACTATTCTGCCCATACACATGCTTCCTAAGTCTTTGTAACTTACTATTATTTCCTTTGATACTTTTTTTGGCCTTAAATAAGTTTTTCTGGTTTTGTCAACATGCCCCCTTTGATTTCCTATTTTAGGATGAAATAGCCTCCCACTCCAGGTAATTCTCTACCCATTAGAAATGCCCTGGCCTGCTACCCTAATGGATTCTCCCTCTCCCCGCTCCGACACTGAAATCAAGAACAACGGAGCTGTGTTTCTGATTAAACACAGAGAATCTTCTCTGCCCATCAGCAAAGATCCTACTCAGCTGAGGGTACCTGGGTGGGGAGACATACATCCATATAAACAAGTAGAAAACAAACAGGCTGGGAGTGATTTCCAGACTATTGCGGGAGCTGAAGAGCAGGCTGGCGCCGTGGCCAACCAGGATAGAGAAGGCGGGCTTGGCACCTGGGGTGGGGACCAGCAAAGAGCAGGGAATCTGAGCTCCCCCTGGGAGGGCGCTGAACGCAAAGGGATGCACAAATCCCCTTAAAGAGCAGGAAGACATTCCCTGCCCCACCCCCACCCTGGCTTCCCAGAGCAGCAGCAGGCAGAGCTGAAGACCCAAGGCTGCAGGAGACAGGTCTCCAAACACTGAACCAGTAGAGAGGGAACACAGGACCCGCCACTCACTTGAAGGGCACGAGGGTACTGTCTGGGGATAATTGAGGGGCCGTGCATGGAGAACAGCGAAGCCACAGGAAAACATAAGAACAGCGGCCATCTCCAAGAAAAGCAAGAACCCACAGGTAAACAAAAAGAACAGCCACCATCTCCAAGAAAAGTTAAGGCATTATACAAGGAGAGAAACACAGACCCCACATAGCAAGTGACTCAGCTGTAATATTCACAGTTACAATAACGTCGACACTGAAACCTGATTTTAACAAAAACACAATTCTACCGGAGGACCCTGGGGGAACGTATGGGGGAGTTGGGGTGCAGCCAGTAGGTTAGAGGTTCGTCTCCCACCGAAGGACATCGACAGGGAATGCAGAATCAATCTTTCTTTCTTTCTTTCTTTCTTTTTTTGAGACAGAGTCTCACTCTGTCACCCAGGCTGGAGTGCAGTGGTGTGATCCTGGCTCACTACAACCTCTGCCTCCCAGGTTCAAGTAATTCTCCTGCCTCAGCCTCCCAAGTAGCTGAGATTGCAGGCACCCCGCCACTATGCTTGGCTAATTTTTGTATTTGTATGTATGTATTTATTTAGAGATAGAGTTTGGCTCTTGTCACCCAGGCTGGAGTGCAATGGCCCGATCTTGGCTCACTGCAACCTCCGTCTCCCTGGTTCAAGTGATTCTCCTGCCTCAGCCTCCCAAGTAGCTGCAAATACAGGCGCCCGCCACCATGCCCAGCTAATTTTTGTATTTTTAGTAGAGACAGGGTTTCGCCACGTTGGCCAGGCTGGTCTTAAACTTCTGACCTCAAGTGATCCGCCTGCCTCAGCGTCTCAAAGTGCTGGGATTACAAGCATGAGAGTCCGCCCAACAGCTGAAAACCTAAATGTTTTGGTTAGACTACACCACACACAGAATTGGAAGTCAGAATGTTAAAAGTGGCTAAAGCTCCTACAGTTCGCCTCTACTACTGCTGGGATGCTGGGATGGCAGTACTGTTGGGGATCCAACACATTCAGCTTATTCATTACATTGGGAATAAAAAGTATCAGCAGAACTTATTTGGGGAGAAATATATTAAATTTAAAAATGACAATGTCAAAAATAACAGTGAACCTCAAAAGTTGCAGATTTATGAGTTTAAAATGTGCTTTTCTTCTACAGATGCATCCCTTAACAAACGATGCAGAAGACATGCTCCGAAGTGAAGTCATGAACAGAAATATTAAAATATGTGTTTAAATAAGCTTCCCTCGTTAGCTATTCACTGCTTATTCAATTAAGCTAATCAAATGCAGATAGATCACATTGTCAGGATCAAAGTCCTGTGCTTGCCTGGACTGGAATGCCAAGTAAAAACAGATGCTTATTAGGTACCTTTGATCATGCCAAAGGTGGTTATTTTGCAGTCAATTAAAATATCTTTGCCTTGCTATGATTGCAACTTCCTCTTCACCTAAATTTACCTTAAGGCTTCTCCCTCTTAGGTGCACTACTGTTTTCACCGGAATGAATATACCTTAGATTTTTTTTTTCTTTTTAGGATTTCATCGAGCTTCCACCGTGCATTTCAGTTGACCATGTGACTGCTTCATAGGCAGCAAAAAATTTGCTTCCCCAGAGTGTCCTTCCCTCAAATCCATTTCATACTTCGGCTGCTCGGACGGTAAAGGGGACTGCCTGCAGAACTGGGACCGCACTTTTCTGAGTGTGCCGCGGTGCCCCAGGGCCACCCTCACTGCAGAGCGGACTCGGGGTCACGTGGACGTCTCTGCAGGATGCTCAGACACTGCGCCACCGCCTCCCGCGCGCCCGTGGAGGGGAATTCAGCTCTCACCGTGGGCTCGCGCCGGGCTGCCCCGCGAGGGGGCACCGTGGGCGTTTCCCAGGCTCTCTCCGCCACTGGTCAACTGCCCCGCACGCGCCCCACACCTTCCCCAGCGCGCGCGGAGCTCAGTGGGTTTGCGGTTGCGAAACTCCACACCCGGCGCGCCCCACGGACCGCGGCCCAGCAGTGAGCGGGCCTGGGACACGGTGCAAGGCATGAGAGCCCGACTGGGATGCGCAGCACCCCGGGACCCTGCTCTCCCCGCGGCCCACCCCACCAGACGCCTCCGCCCACGAAGCCAGCGCGGGGCGCGCCACCAGCTCCCCGGCTCAGGCCCTGGGATGCGCCGCAAGCCCCTGGAGCCGGCGCGGCGCCCTCGCCCTGCCCCCCGCGGCGCCCGCACGTACCCACGTCGCCAAGGAAGTAGCCGTCCGCCGCCCGGGGCTCCATGCGGCTCGCCCGCGGCCGCCCCGCGATTCGGGGCGCGGGCACCTGGGACTGAACCCGCGAGGCCGCTGGGCGGGGCCAGTCTGCGCTGGGCTGTGCGTCGGCCCGAGGCGACCGCGTCGGGAGTTGTAGTTCCCGCCGCCTTGGCGCGGTTCCCGGTGGCGCTGTCTCTGCGTCCCGACTCCGCTGTCACTGCCACCCCGCTTCGCCCGTCGAGCCGAGAAGTGTGTGCGCTTGCACCTGCAAACCGTGCGTCCCGTGCAAAACGTCTCCTGGGCACGTGTCCTATGCAAACGTGTGTGTCCTTGTGCAAAACATGCATCCTGTGTATATGTCCTGTGCAAAACATGCAGCTGTGTGTAAACATGTATCCACTGCATACTTCCCTGGGTCCCTGTGCGCAGCATGGATATGTGTTTCCATGTGCAAAACGTGTGTCCTGTACCAAACATGCATCCTGTGCGCGTGTCCTGTGCAAGCGTGTGCAAAACATGTGTCCATGTATAAACATGTATGTATTGCAAACGTGTCCTGTGCAAGCATGTGTCTGTGTGTCCGTGGGCATAGCATGCGTCTAGCTGCGGGGGCTCACTTGCAATGTACTGATGCTGATGGTGCTCCAGAGTCCTCGAGGTCCCCCAGGCTTAACTTTCCGGAAATGCTTCCCACCACAGCCGGTGTTCAGAATCACTGTTTCTTTCAAGATAATAATTTCAAATCGTTCAAATCAATTTTTTTATTACCTTTTCTTTACAGGTGTTTTTAATCCAATGTTCCCCTAAGCAGCTTAGCGAAGGGAAGCAGGAGCACAACCTAGCAGAAATAAAAAGCCTGTTTCCTGTTTCCTATTTCCAAAGTAATACCCAGTCAACAATGAGTAAGGGATTTTTGTTTTATTTATTTATTTTTGCAAAGTGGCGTCCCAAATTTAGAAGGTTTAACCTTGTCAAAGTTCACTGTAGCCTTGTCAGGAGATTCGTCACTCACCTGACCTGTACTGAACCTCAATGCAGTGGAGTTTGGGCTCAAAAGTAAAAATATCAGGAATCATCCAGTCTGGAAATAGGTGAGGACTGGCAGAGAGCAGCCAGGTTGATCTCTCACTCTACAAAGCCTCTCAGATGACCCAGATCGCCATCTTCAGTCCAGACTGAAGGCACTATACCTAGGGGGCATTGAACCATATCGGATGGAAAGCAGAGCCCTGGAAATGTGGAGCCCCAGGCCTGGGAATGGAATTTCAAGCCGTTAGCACTGTGCATTTAGAGCCCTTTTGCCACTTTCTACTGAAATCAGGCTCCTGCATTTTTCTTGCGAGTTTTCTGCACTTTTTACTAAATGTAATAGATTTTTGTATCATTATATTTGACATGAATGGTATGTTTTCCCCTGTGGCAATGTTGTGTTGGTATGTTTGCATTTTCTTCAATATTTCTTCCTGGACAAAGTGTCATCTAAATTTGCGTATGATCATGTAGAACATATATATATATATATATATATATATATATATATATATGCATATATGTATGTGTATTATGCAAGTGTTTGCTAAATATATTAAAAAGCAAGTATTTGTGTTTTTCCTCCATTCTGTTGCTTGGTTAAAATATTAAAATATCTCATTACAGAAAAAGGTTTTTTTAAGTTTATATATATATTCAGAAATACATTCTCTGCAAGTATTTCCTTTTTCTTCAATATTTAAAATATATTTCCCCAGCAAGAGCCAGAAGATATATATTATTCTGTTCTGTCCTGTTGTTAAGTCTTTGAGTCCCATCTAGAATTCACTTGCACTGTATAGAATGAAAATATAGGAGTTCAGTTCATTCTTCTCTAAACTGAAAAAGACTTTTTCCCAAAATATTCATTAAATAGTCACTCATTTATTTTTGTGTTAATCTCTTTTTATTGGCTGTTGGTTCCAATTACCTTTTGAATCTATTGTAAGAACCTCTATAATATTGATAAAGTTTCTATTATTCATTTAGCAAATATTTGATGATGACCTAACCTAAGGTGGATGATTTTTCGACTAACTACCACATGTGTTTTTAAAATAAAAAATGTCATTTTACAAGATCATCACTTTTTTGTTAGCATTTGAAAATCTGATAAGACCCGTATTTGGAAAGTGGTATGGTTAAGGGCTCCCCCAACACATCATGAATTGAGATGTGTTAACCCCTGGTTTTTCTAATAAAGACAGTCTTCATATCACATTTTTTAGAGTCTCCTAGGTCATAAGATACTCTTCCTTTGCCTCCAAAACAAATAGTCAGGTTAGGTGAGGACTAAATTTGTAGGAAATCCAATTCTATTTGCTTGGATATGCCATTTTTCTTAAACTTACTATCTCGAGAGAACAAGGTTTTGTTAAACATGTATATTTCTGAGTTTCTCCTGAAGATTCTGGGCTCCAGGGAAAGACTTGGGAGGCAGCCCTGTATTTTTTTTAACCATTGCCAAAAGTTTGGCAAACACTCATATACCCCATCCTCCGAAAGCTGTGAGGAAGCATTTAATTTACAATTCATATTGACTGATTATTTCCTAAATAGAAGAGTACGGAAGAATATATATGGTTCTTCAAGTTTTGGTTCCTCTCTCCCGTTGTTAACTTTTCAGAGTCCTTAGGAAGTCAGTTGGTGCAGTAGCACACACCTGTAATCCCAGCTACTTGTGAAGATCACTTAAGCCCAGGAGTTTGAGACCAGGCTAGACAGCACAATGAGACCCCATCTCTTAAAATAAATTAAGACAAAATGTTTAAAGCCCTTGGGAAGTTGCTTTCGGTAGCTTGTCTGGTTTTTATTTGTAGCAGTGGCAGACAGAGACTGTAATGGGCTGGAACCTTCTTGACTGGCACAAGAAATTCTGATCTGATTGGATTTAAGGAAAATAAAATCATCAGGTTAGGGCTTTCTCCAGCTCAAAGATGAGGCCAGGGCCCAGAAATCTTATATGGCCACCCCGCAAAAAAACCCTTATCTCTCATAGCCACACAGCCAAGATTTCTGAAAACTAAACTCAAAGTTTAAGCTTGCAGGTGACTAAAACAATGCAGATTTGATTCTTGACCCCTTAGAGCAGGTGTCGCCAGACTTTTTACACAGGGGGCCAGTTCACTGTCCTTCAGACCGTTGGAGGGCCGCCATATACTGTGCTCCTCTCACTGACCACCAATGAAAGAGGTGCCCCTTCCTGAAGTGCAGAGGGCAGGATAAATGGCCTCAGGGGGCCGCATGCAGCCCACGGGCAATAGTTTGGGGACATCTGCCTTAAGAGTCTCTCATGATAAAGGAAGGGCACTAATCGGAAAGGAGTAGGAAGCTGGAGTGGAATGGGAGCAAATGGGCAGGTTTCCATAAAGCTGAAGACCTTAAACTCCTGAATTCTGCTGAGCCTTCTTTGCCAGTAGAAGGAATCCACCTGTGCTTACTCAGAGGGTTAATCTTGCCTGAAGAATCTATTATAACCTCACCAGTGGAAGCTGATTTGCAAAGAGCTGTGGATCCTCCTCCCACCCCATCTATCACTGCTTCTAGACCTGTAACCGGACTTGACCTGCCCGGCCCTGAAAGGTAAGGTTCAGAGGGGTTTGAGGTCTCATAAGGCACAATGCACACCATAAACGTTGAAAGGTGTTTTTTTGTGTGTTTTTTTGAGATGGAGTCTCACTGTCACCAGGCTGGAGTGCAGTGGTGTGATCCCGGCTTACTGCAACCTCCACCTCCCAAGTTGAAGCAGTTCTCCTGCCTCAGCCTCCCAAGTAACTGGGACTACAGGTGCGTGAAACCACACTCAGCTAATTTTTGTATTTTTAGTAGAGACAGGGTTTCACCATGTTAGCCAGGAGGGTCTCGATCTCCTGACCTTGTGATCCACCTGCCTCAGCCTCCCAAAGTGCTGGGGATTACAGGTGTGAGCCACCGCACTCAGCCAAAACTTGCAAGATTTTTGCCAAGTAACATTGGCAGAAATCTGTAGAACACACATAGGAATGGATCAAAGGGATACAGGATCCAAGTGAAAGGAAAGTAATGTTGGATCAGGCCAAAATTTTTAATCAGGTTTACTACACAGCAATTCTAAAGCCAATTTGCTAGTTCAAATGGCTAGGTGTGGTTCTGCAGGTAAAATGCCAGAACTTTCTTGGTAACTTTAGATAAACATCTCCTAGAGGCTTAGAGTGCTAGAGTAGATTTTTCACGTAAGACCTGTTCACCCATTGCCTAACTCTGGCTCTCAGAATCTGAAGAATACCTTCACAAGACTGTGAGAAGTCCATTTAGCGGGAGAAGAGGACTTCTTTATCCTTGGGCAGTCAGCTGGGACAGTTGCTGTTGTTAAGCTTCAACCCCTGAATTCACTGGGAATGATAGAATCTGATGGCCGAGTGGTGGCACTTAATTGCCAAAGCCAGTGTAGGACCAGCTGCCGTCATGAATAACAGAACTGGCACAGTCATCAAGATTGTCTGTCCTCAGAGATCTTGGACGCTGATTAGTTGATGATGGCATCCCTAAAGCTGAGACTCCTGGCAGCCAACTGAAGCCTTATTTGATTTTTACAAGCAGAAAAGCTCTAAATCTGGTGAAGAGCAGTGCAAAAAAAAAAAAAAAAAAAAAAAAGTCACTATAATAGGGAGTTTCAGCCTCTCAACCAATTCCCAGAGTTGAGCCAGTTCACAGACCCAGAGCTCCTTGACTGAAAGGGAGGCCAGGGGCACATGAACTCTGAGCCACCGAATTTGTCCTGTAACTCATCCTCCTAACCTTCCCAAAGAATCTCATGGGTATTTACTAGGTTGTATATTGACTATGCACTGCAGAAAGGGAAATAACAAGACTATTCAGCAATTGCTGGTCACTGGCTCTGAACCGTCACTAATTCCTGGAGAGCTAAAATACCACGATGTCTATTAGACAGAACAGGAGTTGATGGAGAAAGTGATCGGTTGAGTTTGGGCTTAGTTTCGCCTCAGATAAGCCCAGTGGGTTCTTGAATCCCGTAGTTACTTCTTCAGTTCCAGAATGCATCATTTGAATATAAGAAACTGGCAGAGTCCCTACATGGATTCTCTGAGCCAAGTGGAAAGCTCTGAAACTACCTCTATCTACCAAAATAGGAAAAAGCAATCTTACATTGCTGGAGGAATTGCAGAGTTTAGTGCTACCATCA